GCCCTTTGAACCTAAGCATCCAGAATACTGGACATGCTTTCTTGCAAGAATATTTACAGTACGATACCGCATGATAAGATTTCCCTTTGTATAAGTATATTTCTGATCTTGGACTAGTGTCGTTTCAGATTCGTGTATATTGTTGCCCATTTGTATATTGCTCACTCCACACTTCGTATATCGCCAGGAACTTCGTATATCGTCAGGACCCTCGTATGTCGTCAAGAAACTCGTATATCGCCATCGTCTAGTAGATCGTTAGTCCCTCGTATATCGTCATCGTCATCGTGCTCGTATACCGTCTTAGGCTGTTTCATGTTTGTGTTTTGTACTAGTACTCAAAATAGATAGATCGCAAGTACCTCGTTTCAACCTCTCGTATATCGCCTATCGCCACCTCGTTTATCAAGTAGATCGTTCGTTAGAACTAAAGAGTTGTATATGAACTGTCGTATATAGTTCGTTTCAGAAGTAACATAGCCGCGACCCAGTAGGTATAAGTACTGTCTTTGTAGTAGTAATGAGCAAGTACTCTTTTCCCCTCGAATCTGCCCTCCCCTATAGTGCTAAAGTTGCACTATATTCGTCTATCCACTGCAATAGTTGCAGTATCGTCGTCTGCTTTATCTTCCCTTACATTCTCTGGAGCTCACTAGTGGAGCCCATCCTAATTTAGTCTTTGACCTTCCTATTTAGGTCATCTTCTCCACATCCTCTTCGCCTCTGGTGCACAGCCATTCTACACAACACATCCCTCACCCGAACAAATCAGGCGATCTCCCGAGTCTCCCACAGACCTCGGAAACCTGAGTCTATTGTGTGTCTTTACACATTTATAGCACGACAGCGTTCCAGCGCCTTCTACAAGGTTCTACTCTATTCTGTGTGTCATTACTAAGCCTTCATGACAAGTAACACAAAGGGAACAGGGAAGAAGATCTAAAGTACATGTGGAACACAAAGGGAATCAGTGCCAAGGAAACCGAGCACAAGGAAGAAGAATACAGTGTGAGAATAAGCAAGGACGAACAAAGGGAACATATGGGAGTCAAAGATACGAAAAGTCCGCCAGAGATCCGTCGGAGGACCGCAGGAAAATGAGCGGCGAAGAGCGGAGGAGATGTTGGAGGACAGTCGGGGATAGTAGGCAATGGTCGGCGATGATTGACCCATGACAACATCGACGACCGTTGAGGCCCCTTCCATGCCATCCATGCTGCATCAAACAAGAGATCTTCAACTTACAATAGCTTTGATTGGGCAGTCTGAGGTTTCACCGTAGGCCGGGTTGCTCTCTTGAAGGTCAACAAGCTGGTATGTTGCTCGTCTCTCATGTCGTGTGATTGATTCATCATGTTCGCAGGTTGGTGAGAGGCGCGTGCTCTTCATCTGTTCCATACTGGCCATAGCGTAAGTGTTTTTGAAACCCAATTCAAAGCATGCTGATGGACACTTCGTTGACAGTCTGGAAATGGTGGTATGGTTTGTACCGTCTCTGGTGGGCAGTGCAGTGTCCGTGTCGCTAGTGGGCGTCCTCCTGGGGCCCTTCTACCCGATAGTGATGAACCACGCTGGGCGCATACTTCCGCGCTGGCTGCTGACAGGATGCATTGGTTGGATTGCCGGTTCCGGTTGCATCATATCTATTCACAGAACAGTTTCGTCAGCTCAATTGCGCTTTCGCTTCGCTAGGTCAAGCCAGTTCAGCAATTCTTCCGTTCATCACCGGAGCCATAGCGCAAAAGGTGGGAATTAAGACACTTCAGCCTGTGTGAGCTTTATCAACACTGTGTCCGATGCTTGTGCTTGATCAAGCTGTCTTATCGTGGTCCAGGCTTGTCTCGATGATGGTGCTTATGATTGTCCTGTGGGTGCTAGTGCCTTAACATGCAAAGCGGCCGGACTAGAGACAATTGTTGATGGTCGACTATGTGAGGAGTTGACAATGTGACGCCAGGAAATGACATGCACGTGCGGTGTGTTGATACGCCCGCCGTGCGCGAACGACTCTCTCCATCGTTCACTACATCCTGCATGTACGGTGGAGGTGAGATCCGTTCTATCTACGCGACGAACTTGTATTGATATACTGCTACCTATAGCCTGACACGCGGTGTCCTGCCCCTAAAGTGAATAGGTGCGGAACTGCTCGAAAACCTCCATTTTTTATTCATTCTGCAGCCTCTCTGTTATGTAGTAGTATAGAATCTAAGTAGAATAGACCAAGCATGTACCTTAAATGGGCCCAGGAAAGTTTGACCATATTAGGAAAGGGATTACTAAGCGGTGCCCAATCTTAGTCAGCACATGACAAATCATGACTCGGCTGAGTCAGAAGCTGACTCAGCACTGCTAGGATTACTAATATGACTCAGCTGGCCTAGCTAAGGAGTATAAAATGTAGCCGAATCGGCATGAATGAGAAATCAATCAGTTCCCCCCGAAAGTACTCAGCAGTCGTCTGCTAAACTCTCTCTCTGTCAGGACTCGAGTGCCTGGACAGCTTCCCTATCGACTCTCTATCGACCCTATCGACTCTACACAGCCACCGTAGGCTGTTCGAAACCGTTTCCCACGCTCTATCGCCTCCGCCACCAAAGGAACAACTGATCCCTCCCTTAATTTTTCTAGGAACTTCGACGCACGGCGCGTCATACAACACATCAACACAAGACCCCTCAAGCCTCCCATACAGGCTAACCGTCTTATTACCTCTTTAGGTATCGCCGACAAGCTCACAAAGCTTGTCCCATCAAATTCAAGTCAGGTTCAATAACCGACGGCCAACTGAGCAATCCCCGACTTAGATAGCCCGGGACCTCAGGGAAGTTCTGCAAGAAGAAG